CGGAGGGGCTCGAACGGGGCCCCCGTCAAGGCCTTGAGTACCAGGGGAAGATCCCACGTGGGAAACCTGTGGACGGGGGTAGGCCGGAGATTAGCTGCCCCCTTCAGGAAAAGCTTGATCAGGGGAAACTGGGAAAGGGAAGAAGACCCTCCCACCAGGACCGAAGACAGAGCCACCACCTGGCGACGCAAGGTATTCTGTGAAAGTCCGTCCTCAAGACCTTTCTGAAGGAAATCCAAGACGTTGGGAATGGTGGCTCTATCGGGAGAAATGCCCCTAGATGAGCACCATCTGACAAAGGCCGCCCAGGTGGAGTTATAAATGCGGGTTGTCGACGGCCGCCGAGCTGCGTCGATGGTGTGAATGACCCCGGAGGACAGATGAGCCTCTCTCAGAAGCCGCCGTTCAAGAGCCAGGTGGTCAGATGAAGCCACTGTGGCTCCGGGTGAACCAGAGCCCCCTGCAGCAAGACTACCTCCCCCCACGGAATCCTCCACGGGGGGGGGGCACCGACAGCTGTACCAGGTCCATGAACCAGGGCCTCCTGGGCCAATACAGGACCACCAGGATGACCAGGGCCCCCGCCGCCACCAGCTTCCTGACGGTCCCCAGGATGAGGGGAATGGGAGGGAAGGCATAAAGAAGGCCCGGGGGCCACCTGCTCCTGAGGGCGTCCGTGCCCTCCGCCGACCTGGACTGGAAACGAGTGAAGAACCGTGGAAGCTGGGAGTTTTCGGGCAATGCAAACAGGTCCACCAGAGGAGACCTGAACCTTTGGCAGATCCTCTGGAACAGCGACGGGTGGAGTTGCCACTCGCCGTTGTCCAGAGTCGCTCGACTGAGCCAATCTGCCTGGACATTGGAGAGTCCCAAGATGTGCTCTGACACCAAGGACAGCAGGTGTCTCTCCGCCCAGGAGCCCAGCCGCAGAGCCTCCAACCAGGGGCCCCGTGAGTGGGTCTCACCCTGACGATTGATGTGAGCCTTGGTGGCCACATTGTCCATCAGGAGGAGCACATGGCGCCCCTCCACCGAGGACTGAAAGTGACACAGAGCCAGTCGCGCAGCCTTCAGCTCCAGCCAATTTATATTGTGGCGTAGGTCCGAGGCCGTCCACCTGCCCTGCGCCATCCGAGAGCCCACCAGGGCCCCCCACCCGAACAGACTTGCGTCCGTGGTGACGGTCACCCTGTCCGGCTCCCAGAAGCAGCAGCCCCGCTGAATGGCCGGGGAGAGCCACCACACCAGAGAGACTCGGACCCCCGCCAGGAGACGGAGAGTCTGAAGAGAATTGCTCAATCTTCCCCTCTGAAAGGAAATGAGTTCCCACTGGGGGGGGGGGGCTGAGATGAAGCCTGGCCCACGGGACAATCCCGATGCAAGATACCATCTTGCCTAATAACTGTGACAGAGAAAGGATGGAAGTGGACCACCTTGCGCGAACGCTTTCCGCCAGACGACGGAGGCTGTCCTGCCGTTCCTGAGACAGACTCACCACCCCCGACTTGGAATCTATGACTGTCCCCAGATGCAGAATGCGAGTGGAGGGGGAAAGATGACTCTTGGTGAAGTTCACCGAAAAGCCCAGGCTTTGAAGGCTCCGAATGGTGAGCCGAAGATCCGAGATAGCCTGAGGAAGGGACCCCGCCTGAACCAAGACATCGTCTAAATAGCATTGGAGACGAACCGGCACAGACCGCAAATGAGCCGCCAGAGCCGCCAGAACCTTCGTGAAGGTCCATGGGGCCGAGGCCAGGCCGAAGGGAAGAGCCCTGTACTGGTAGTGGCGGGACCCGTAAGAGAACCTCAATAACTGGCAATGAGGGGGCAAGATGGGAATGTGAAAATAGGCCTCCGTGAGATCCACGGAGGCCAGGAAGTCCCCCTTCCTGATGCCCTGAAGGATAGATTTGAGGGATGACATTTTGAAGCGTCTGTACGCCAGAAACAGGCGCTTGAGGCCTAGAATCGCCCTCCAGCCCCCCGTGCTCTTTGGAACCATGAAGAGGTTGGAGTTGTGGCCCAGGCCTCGTTCCCCTAGAGGAACCGCCTCCACCGCCCGAATGTCGAGAAGGTGGGCGGTTGCCTGATCCATCAGGCGGCGGCGCTCCCGACTCCGAGACGGAGGGAATGACCGGAAGAGGTTTGGAGGAGTGGAGAGAAATTCTAACCTGAGACCGTGACGAACCGTGGCTCGGACCCAAGCGTCCGACGTGATCTTGTCCCATTGATCCGCATAGAGGGAGAGGCGGCCGCCGATGGGACGACTCGGGTTCGAGTCACTTCCCCCTGAGGAAGGAACAACCGCCTCCCCCACAAAAGGGCCGCCTGGAGTGGCCCTGGAATCGATTCCTGTCCTGA